GCTGTTTATAAGTGCTTGTGTAACTGGGCAGCCAGTTTGTTCAAAACCTCTCAGGATATCTGCTTGGCTTCGTCTCCTTCACCTCACTCCAGGAAGTGTTTCTGCCTTTCCCAAGGAAGAAGTTTGCACAAGTAATGCCTTTTGATTTGTCAATCAATCCAAGAGCTAATCCACGTGCAGCTGATGGCATCTGCTGATGTGAAAATCATAAGTATGCTGTACTCGCTTCTACCTGGAACCATCAGAGATAAGGTACAAACTGTGTGGCTGAGCCTGTTTCTACATGGTTGGAACCTGTAGACACAGTCGGCCAAAGCCAAACCGAACAGAGCCACAACAAGCGCTACTGAATTTTTAAATTTAGAAAGCACAAACCTGCTTACAGTTCTGAGAAATTGCCAAAAGCCCGTCCGTCCATCCGTTTTCTTCCACTTATCTGGGATTGGGTTGCAGGGGCAGCAGCCTAAGCAGAGAGACCCAGACTTCCCTTTCCCCAGCCACTTGGGCCAGCTCATCCGAGGGAATCCCAAGGCGTTCCCAGGGCAGCCGAGAAACATAGTCTCTCCAGCGTGTCCTGGGTATTCCTCTTGGCCTCCTCCCAGTGGGATGTGCCCGRAACACCTCACCAGGGAGGCGTTCAGGAGGCATTCTAACCAGATGCCCGAGCCACCTCAACTGGCTCCTCTTGAAAACTATACAGTATATAGACTATTTAAAACCTTATGGCCACAGCTCAGGTAAGATGCTTCGACAATGGAGGTATGGAACATGGCCCACTCAGACTCAATGTCCACCAACTCCCCCGGAACGTGTTCAAAGTTCTCCCGGAGGTGTGAGTTGAAGCTCCCCCTGACGGGAGACTCCGCCAGATGTTCCCAGCAGACACTCACTATGCGTTTGGGTCTGCCAGGTCTGACTGGCATTCTCTCCCACCAACGGAGCCAACTCACCAACAGGTTGACAGCTCCGCCCCCTCTTCACCTGAGTGAACAAGACATGCGGCCGCAGATCAGATGAAACGACAATAAAGTCGATCATCGAACTGCGGCCTAGGGTGTCCTGTCCTTAGCAAAAGCTGTCAATCCTAAATGAGACATTTAGTTCCTCAATTGGCGCTAATTGTGCTAATGCGATTGCATCGTTCTGAATGTCATCAAATGTTTAGAGTTAAGTAGAAGACGTGGGGATGAATCATAAATCCTCCCTCTGCACTCCAAATGGAGAATATCTTATGCAGAACTAAGCATAAAAGACAACAGTGATAATAATTTTCTTTAACATCAGCATACTAACTTGAAGCACATTTGACCTGTGACTGTATCCATCATAGCAACTCTGTGATTGTTTTTGAGACGTGATCCTTACTTCCATGGAGAAGCGTCTGTGCTGGGCCTGGCTGTAGTGGAGGTGGGATGGAGACTGAGCTCCTGGTGTGGTGGCTTCAGGGCTCACTGGACTGGTATCATGAGATGGAGGACCAAGTCTGTCTGGAGTCAGGCCTGGAGGATAAAAAAAACAAACAACAGAATTTAGATGAAACTTATAGTCAGATGGTCTAGTTGAAAACATTTCCAGAAACTGTGCCGTGTTTTTTATATTTTTTATTTTACCRTTTAAAAAGTTTTAAAGTTTTAAAACAATAAATAAAAAATGTTTTGTTAAAACAATTCCTTTGTGGCTTCAGGTGTTTTAGGAGAATTTTAGGATTAACTGTCTGTATTTATGTTTCAGACTTTTATTGTGAAAGATTACAGGAAATTTACTGCTGCAGTATTAAAAACTGCATCCAGACTGGGTCCAGCTGAATCTTTGGCTGTATTTTGATGTTTACCCAATAAAAAAAAACATACCCAGGTTAACTTCATTGGGTCTGATCATTAAATAGCTGCTACTACATTTTTTTTATATTTCAATTTTGTGACTCTGTCCCAAAAACTGAAAAAAAAAATCCTCTTCATTTTCTTTTCAGGGGTCCCACTGAGCCTTTGTAGATGACTGTGAAGTAATAACGTAATAATAATTTTATGCTAATTAATCCGCTCCGTGACATTTGTCCCCTGCCAGGAAGTAGCTGTGTTCGTGATCTTTCTCTGCTCATTTATTTAAAGTTTTTAAAGTTAGCTTCTGTCCAGATGGGTTTTAATTACAGAACTTGAACTAATGTTTCAACATCAAGGACAAATATTCCTCTCTGGTCACCGTGAATCATTAAAAGCTGCTTCAAAGCTGCGTATCTGACCCTGGTAGCCATGTTTGCTGCAGAGTGTATAATTACGCTGCCATGATAATTACATCACCACCTTATCGTACTGTATCTGGACTTTAATTGCTTTGCTGACCTCCATGTTGCTCTGTGCACTTACATGTGTTTGCGCTGGCAAAAGTAAAACAAGGCAGTTTCATTACTATTCTGAGTCTAATTTACCATAAAAAGGCTGAGCCATATTTCACTTCCATTCCTCCTGCTGAAGGAGCTCAGACGAGCTGCAGTTTGCTGGGTAAAATCTAGATAAGCTGTTATTTGAGGCCAATTGATGTTTACAAAAGGAAACAGGAAGATAAGTGGTGCAGGGTGATCTGTGGGACTAAAACACACATTACAGTTATATAATCAATGTTTTAACGTACAACATTGATCTGGTATTTTGACGTTTGCTGCACGTTGCTTTCCTCTTCATGAGAAAACTGATGCAAGGGTTGTTTCATTTTAAATATGATTCTTGTCATTTAATCAAGGATTTAACTGTTCTTTCAGAAACAGATAGTGGGTTACAAACAGATTCTCTTTTTTGTCTTACAAGCTAGAATTTAAAGGGTTTCATTTTTTTTTACCAGTTTAGTACATCTTTAATCATGGATTTTTTTCTTTTTAATTTCATGGCAAATCCTTTATTTGGGTCCTGCTCAGGGACCCAAATAAAAATTTCCCCACCATCCACAGTGGCTGGTCGAAAAAGTTTTGTACCGGCCACTCAAATTTCTTACGAGCCACTATTTTTTTTGTTTGTTTCTGTAACACAGCATTTGGACAATTCATAGTCCTGGTGGCCTAATTAAATTGTTTGTGCTTACAATCAGATAATGGCACTCAAAATCAATTAGTGTCTTAGAGTATTCAAGCCAGCCTGTTTGCCCAAAATTAAAACGATGGATTTTTTGATGTCTCTACTTCTCTTACTAACTTGCTTTTAGCTGGTACAGCGGGTAAAATAAGTATTGAACACGTCACCATTTTTCTCAGTAAATATATTACTAGAGGTGCTAATGACATGAAATTTTCACCAGAAGTTGGTAACAACCCAAGCAATCCATACATACAAAGAAATCAAACCATAAATGTCCAGAAATGAAGTTATTTGTAATAATGTGGAATGGCACAGGGAAAAAGTATTGAACACATGAAGAAAGGGAGGTGTAAAAAGACAAGACATGGAAAGACAAGACAGCAGCTGAACTCTCTCAGTAAAGAAAACAAGCCTGCCCCTTGTCAGTGCAAGTTAATATCAGCTGGTTC